CACGTCAGGTCCCCGCCAGGCCTGCAGGGAGGCAGGCCTGGGAGCGTGTCCCCAGAGGGGTGGAGCTGCTGCAGCCCCGCCGGTGCCTGTGATGCGGGCCCGCCCTGCGGACGCACCGGCCCCACTGTCCACTGTCCGTGTGTTTCAAGAGACGATTTGAATCGCTGCTTGGACCTGACTGTCAGCGTGGGAAGGACCAGCCTGGACCTGCGTGGTCTTACACCACCTTGTCCGATCCTGCTCTCGACACCCTGTCCCCAGCCCACGATTAAACCACACACCCTCTGCCCCCGGCTCCTTCCTTTCCTTCCCTGGGCGCTTGCTGGGTCCCCGACTCCTGGGGCTGCAGGGATGTCCTGAACCACCCTGTCCTGGCCCCACTGCCCGACCCAGGTGTGAGTACTGCAGAGAGGGGTGTGGGTGGCCCAGGCCAGTAAGACTAGGGACCGTGGGGTGGTTTGGAGGACTGGCTCATGGGTGTCACTGGGCAGGCTGGTGGGGGAGGCTTTAGTGACTGGATGATCCCCCGTACTGGTATCCTCCAGGTGGCAAGACCACTGACTGCCCATCCCTCCAGATGGGCAAGGGGTGAGGCCGAAAAGGAGCAGGTGGCAGGGCTCAGCTCCCAGGGTGCAGGGAGGGGCATGACCTGAGGGACTCCCGTTCATGGTACAGCTGGGGCTGAGGGGTGGGGCACACCCACCCGAGTATCAGCACCCAGGGACACCAGGTGGCAGGATGGGGCCCTGGCTGTGGAGGGTCACTGCTGCAGGCTCCCAGGCAGCCGGTAGAGGGCGCGGGGGGCTGAGTCAGCGCTCAGGTGCCAGCCGGCCAGGGCCAAGGGAAATTCTTAGGAAGGCAGGGCTCCTGCTCTCGCGTTGCTCTTGGATTAGGGCAGAGGTTCATGGGGCCAGCCGGCGCGGTGGTGTGCACGAAGGGCCCCCTCGGGTGCTTTCTCACTTCGTCCCTGTGTCTCCCTGTGACAAGCGCAGGTGCCCTTAGAAAAGTAAGGGGCCGGCAGGTGGCGTGGTTACGGGCACTGGACTAACATGGTCGGCTGCAGTTGGAGTCCTGGACCCGGCGGCTTTCTCTCTCTCACTGTCCTCTGATCAAACTAAACTAAATTTAAAAAAAGAAAAAAGACAAAATGGAAGTCCATGAAGGGGGTCAGCACAGGCCAGACACCCCCTCCGAAAAAAGACAAAACACACACAAGCTGTGAAGACTGGAAGCGGATGAGGAACGGTGAACCAAGAGCTGGGAATGAGGCAGAGGGCCCAAGGCCTGCCTTCTGCCCGGCGTGTTTCCGGCTGGGCACAAGGCCAGGCCAGGGAGCCCAGTGAGTTCCTGATTGAGAGGTGGAGCTGGGGGCCTGGAAAGGCGAAGGCCACCCTGAGACTGGACGACCACGTTAGCCCAGCAGGCGCTGCCCCAGGGGCGCATAGCACTCCATGTGGAGGGCATGACACAGGGCCGAGTCTCAGTCATGGGGACAGGCAGCCTGAGGCTAGCTAGCTAGTTACTAGTTAGCTGTTGTAGTTACTCTGGCTCCACCTTAAAACCAGCAAAAAGATCTTAGAAACAAGACCCCCAAAAGATCAAATTATTCAGGTAAAACGATCTTTCACAATGGATCAAAAATTAGAAACATGAAGAGAATAAGGCTGACCCATGGGGGGGGATCAATCAAGCAAAACTGACCCAAAATTGATGGAGGCATTCCGAGGACGTTCGAGTCATTATAACTACTCGTGTTCAGGAAGATTAAAATGCGCACAGCATGATAGAAAAAAATTTTCCCGAGGTTTTTGCTGTAGGGCACAGAGCGTTCCCCAGAAAGCAAGAAATCATCCCCCGGGAGATGGCCACAATCCCTTCTCCATTCTCCTCTCGGGATCTTGGGCATGCATGCACACACATGTGCCTGGCATGAGTTTAAGCCACCGGGTCCGGGCCTCGAACCGCAGTTGACCACATGGGAGTCCAGGACATAGCCATTACGCCCACTGCTGGTCCCAAGAACAACAGAAATTAAAGGGTAGATAAAAACGAAAGCCCTGGGGACAAAATGACTACATGTGACATGGACTGGGTGGGACTTGGGACAGGTCAGCCATCACGGAGGAGAGGCTTAGTGGCTGCTTTGCAGACGCTGTGATGGAGACCGCCCAGGCCGCGGCCACGGAGGACACAGATCCTGGCAGGGGTGGGTGTCCGGGAGGGGCAGGTCAGTCAGGCGATCTGCTACGCGTGTCATCAGAGCCCTCGAAAGGAAGGACAGAGGGCCCAGGGACACACTGAGACATCGTTCACACCTGCAGAGCCAAGGGACAGGACCCTAAGCACGAGAGACATGGAGGAAGCCACCGGGCCTCAGAGGCCACGCAACTGGGACACCCAGCTCCGTGGGCAGGGACCACAAGGAGGCGTAATCTCAGGTCCGACCTAATGTCCAGCAGAGGGCGTGCACCAGCAACTCAGGCTGAGGCAAGGGCGTCCACGGTGTGAGAACGACACGGCAAGTGTGACCAGCAGAGGGCGTAATCCCACGGTTTGAGTCCCAGACCCGGAGGCTTAAAACTCACCCCCAGCACATGTGCATGCGTGCCCAGGATCCTGAGTGGAGAATGGAGGAGAAGGGACTGCAGCGTGACCATCCCCCCGGGGGGGTGATATCTCACTGCCTCTATGGTGAGCACATGTGCTCTAAAGCAAACATCTCTCTTAAAAAACAAAGGAAAGGAGGGGTCAGCAGGTGGTGTGGTGGTTAAGGGTGCTGAACTCCCAAAGAGCTCAACCACAGTTCAAGTCCCAGACCTGGTGGCTTGCTTTCTCATTTTTCTTCTCTCTCTCTCTCACTCTGCCCCTCTCTGGTCAAATAAAACTAAATAAGTAAATAAAATAATTCTTAATATAAAAAGAAAAGAAAAAGAAGACATTAAGACCCTGTCTTGTATTTTAATGATCAGAGAGTAACATCCATGCACCAGACAGTGACGGTGGGAGAGGGGAGCTGCTAAGGGGTGTGGTCACGCCGCCTCCCATAGCTATCTCTCCATCCTGTCAGGATTTGGGGTGCACGCGCACACCGGCTGTTCTTCAATTCACCAGGACCAGGATTCAAACCGCAGTCGGCCATGCGGGATCTGGCTCCCTTAACCACAAGGCCATGGGACCGTGCTGGTTCTCATGGGCTGGTCCCAGCACGTCAAAGAGGAGGCAGCCGGATGTTCCCGTACAGGTGGACAACCAAGTGGTGCTATGGGGTCTTAGAAGAGCCATGACACATCCTTTTTAAAGAGATTTTTGCTATGGAATGTGTGCTCGCCAGAGAGAGATAGCAGAAAATCACCCCCCAGAGGGGATGGCCACACCACAATCCCGTCTCCGTTCTCCTCTCGGAATCTTGGGCACACACGTACACGTGCACACACGCCCAGTGTGAGTTTTAAGCTGCCAGGTCTGAGACTTGAACCATGGTCAACTACATAGGAGTACAGTGACGTAACCATTACGCCATCTGCTAGTCCCTATGACACATTTTTGCATAGAAAAATATTTCATGACTTTTCCAATGACCCAATATTTGGCTGCACAAAGAAATGAAGCTCGGTTGGGACCAGCAGTTGGCGGAATGGCTATGTTGCTGGACTTCCATGTAGCCAACCACGTTCAAGTCCCAGACCCAGTGGCTTAAGCTCACGCCAGGGTGCGTGCGTGCCCAAGATCCCGAGGAGAATGGAGAAGGGATTGTGGCATGGCCATCCCCCCTGGGGAGTGATTTCTCACTTTCTGTCTCTCTATCTCTTTCTGGAGAGTGGATGCGTCTATAGCAAAAACCTCTCCAAGAGAGAGAGAGAGAAACAGCAAATCCCAATTGCATGTTGTTCAAAAGTCAGTTATAGGGGCCAGCAGGTGGCATGGTGGTTAAAGATGCTGGATTCCCCACATGGCTGGCTACGGTTCGAGTCCTGGACCTGGTAGCTGGCTTTCTCCCTTCACCTTTCTTTCTGTCTCTCTCTGGTCAAATTAAAAAAAAAAAAAAAGGAATTAAATAAATAAATAAATCTTTTTTTAAAAGTCAGTTTTAAAGAGGTCAGTCTAGGGCCAGCAGGTGGCGTGGTGGTTAATTCGAATACCAGATCCATGGTCTGACTACCATGCCAGGTTGTGTGCGTGCCCAAGTCCCAAGGAGAAAGGAGGAGAAAGAACTGCCACACGGCCATCCCCTCAGGATGATTTTCCTGTCTCTCGGTCAAGTACATATGCCCTATAACAATAAAAAAGAAAGAAAGAAAGAAAGAAAGAAAGAAAGAAAGAAAGAAAGAAAGAAAGAAAGAAAGAAAGAAAGAAAAGAGAAAAAAAGAAAGAAAGAAAGATAAAGAAAAAGACAATCAGTTGAAAGTAAAAAGCAAAGAAACTTCATGCAAACAGAATGACAAGGCGGACCTAACGGTACTGCTAGTGGAGAAAAGGAGCCCTCGAGTGGGAGAGATTGCACAGGATCGGAAGGGGCATGATAACGTGGCCGATGCTGAGAAGAGAAAGAGAGGGAGTGCCCATCGCGGTTTGATGTCGCTCGTCCCCACGGACGGTATCTTTAGGGGAAACTGAGTTAGGGAACGGGGCTGCATTCCGGGCGCGAGCACAGCGCGGGCCGGCAGGACCCGGACGCCCGCGCACCTGCTGCGAGCTGCCGCAAACCGCGGCTTCCCCTCCGCTGGGGGGGCGCAGGACGGGGGG